AAATTCGTTGAAACATCCATTCTGCATACATCGAAAATGATGAGGAAAGTATCAAAGAATCCTTATTAAAATTTCTGCTAAATATTACAAGTGAGGGAAATTCCGAGCTTAACACCTTGGTCATTTTAAAAACAGAGTTATTTAAAAAGGTCCTTTCTAAGAACAAAAAATAAAAATTAATTCTACCTACAATAGATTCTTCCTTCGCATCAATAATTCATTTATATGTTCTGCTCCTGCCTACTGTTTGAACACGTTTTAGCATTTAAAGCCTTCATGGAGAAGTGATCCTAAATGGCTCATGGACTTGGCTTTTTTTGGGTGATATTACACAGATGCTGAATGTACTCAACAAGAAGTTACAATTCAAAGGGCTAGCTTGTCAGTGTTGCCTATGACAAAGTCATGGCATTCTGCACAAAACTTGTGTTATGGTTCTTAGAGAAACCTCTGCTATTTCCCAACATACAAACTACTCATGGACTCGGGCACACCATTCTGTAGTAACTTAGCAGTAGGTATACTGATACCATTGCAAAGCTACGGAGAGAATTTGATTAAAATTTTTAGACTTAGACAAAACACGACATACAGTCACTTTTTAACTTTTTGTTGACCATTTCTCCTTTGATGTAGTAGTTGCTTTTTTTCGCTCCACCCCCCCCCCCTTTGAGCTTCAAATGTAGCTGACTGATCTTCAGTGCATTTCTAAGTTCCGAGAGTTGAATGGAAAAAAGACAAGCAAGGAAATTTTATGAGAGCATTGCACCCCCCCCCCTTTTTTCCCTGAGATTTCCAGGTTTTTTGGGGATGAAGCGTGATTTTTAAATAATCTTTATTATTATTATTATTATTATTATTATTATTATTATTATTATTATTATTATCAAATGACTTTTTGGGAGTACCTATCTGTGTGAAAAGCTCTTTTCCACTATGCACTTTAACAAGTCAAAGTTCAGGACCAAACTTACTGATGAGCATCTTCAAGCTATACTAAGGGTCTCAGTTGCTTCTTCACTCAATCCAAAGCTGCTCAGCTGTGTAAGAGGAAGCACTGTCAGGTCTCTGACAACAATAGGTAAAAAGGAAGCAAGTGAAGACTAGTTCTTGAGAACCCTTAATGTTTTTATTAGTTATTTATAAAGGTTGAGCAGATTGTAACAGTTGGACTTTAATGAATTTGTAAGAGCATTTTTTGTGGAAACCTTGATGCGGCCCTGCTGTGGCCCCCAGATGATATGAGTTTGAGACCCCTGATCAAAAAAATACTTTGGCTTTTACCATTTTAATGTAAATTTAAATTTCTTGAAAATGTTTTATTGTAGAATAAATTTTACGCGGAAAAAGGGGGGGGGGGGTGGGCAAAATTCATGCAAAGTAGACCATTGAGTGCGATTTGCTTTTTTAATATAATTACAATTTAGAAAATATACCTACAATAATTATTGTTAAATTTTACGCGGAAAAAGGGGGGGGGGGGGTGGGCAAAATTCATGCAAAGTAGACCATTGAGTGCGATTTGCTTTTATAATATAATTACAATTTAGAAAATATACCTACAATAATTATTGTGGCTCTTTTAGAGCCAAGTGTCACCTAAATATCAGCTATTAGGGCTGTAAAAATATCACCCCATTGTTTCGCGTTGTGTTTCCATAAATAACTGGTAAGGTTTTGCTGTATTAATATTTAGCCTTGTACCAACACACTAGTCTTTCCATGCTGGTGACGTAATTATTTCGTTCGGCGACCAACCTCTCTCACCCCCTTTGGTGGGGGGGGGGGAATTGTTTTTTTAACCTGGTCATTTAAAATTGTTTTTCTGACGGGTCTCGAGGGAGAATCGCAAGACATCTAAATTGGTCGCCAAAATCATAAAAGTCAACAGGTCTGCAGCAGGCCTACTACATAACTGTAATAGGAACCCGTGATACATGCACACTCTTGTTATTTCGTCAATACCACTGTTTATGGGCGTGATCATGATGAAGTTCAAGAAATGAATGGTTTGAAAAGGCCTACGTTTCCTTATTTTTTTAAAAATTTCTTTAAAAAAATAAAAAAATAATAATAATGGAAATATTACCATTCCCTAAGATTATTCAATACTATTCACCTTTGTCTATGACAACATTGATGAGCATGATAATGATACATTAAAATGACTATCAGAAATGAAGGGATTGAATAAACCTCGGGTTCCAATCTTTATTTATGAAAAAAAATTAAAACAAAAATAATGAGCTAAATATTACCATGCCATTAGTTTTTCTTCCTGAAATCTGTTTACATTTGCTTTGGCCTGTTTGAAATGTATTTTTTTTTGGAAAGACAGTGGAACCTCTCATAACGAGTATTTCGCATAACAAGCACACAAAAATGTGAAGAAGTTGCCCCTTAACGAGCGATATTTCGCATAACGAGTTACGTAGAAAGGGGAAGTCCATTTTTCCTGACATTCATTTGTGCGCCGGGACTTCTGCGCCGATGCATTTGTGCAGCGGTTCTCAATCTGTGGGTTGTGACCCCTTTGCGGGTAGCGCGGCCCTTTCCCAGAGGTCGCCTTAGACGATCTGAAAACACATATTCTTACAGCTATGAAGTAGCAACGAAAATAATTAGGTTGTTGGCGGGTCGCCAAGACTCGAGAAACTGTATTAAAGGGTTGCGGCACTAGGAAGTTTGAGAACCATTGCATTAGTCTGTGTTTAGCACTGGGTCTGTTAGCCTATTGTTTTCGTGTGTGATCAACAGTTTTTAAAAAATTTGTATTCAGACAGTATTCATATTGAAAGTTTGTAATTCTTCGACTAATCTGTATTGAAATCTGTTGACAAATTGTCTCCCTTTTTTTCTGGTCTTTTGTAACACGCCTTACCAAACGCTAAATATAAATAAAAGCTTTAGTTCCCATGACCTGCATTGCTTGAATGTTTAAACTAAACATTGAAAGCAGTCAGCCGTCACTCACAACACGGCTACATCTACCCACCCAGAAAGCTGCAACTTATTCCACCTTCAACTTGCCTCACTTTAGCCTCACTTTAGTCTCACTTTAGTCTCACTTTAGTCTCACTTTAGTCTCACTTTAGTCTCAGTTTAGGCTTACTACACTTTAGTCTCACTTTAGCCTCACTTTAGCCTCACTTTAGCCTCACTTTAGTCTCACTTTAGCCTCACTTTAGTCTCACTTTAATCTCACTTTAGTCTCACTTTAGCCTCACTTTAGCCTCACTTTAGTCTCACTTTAGTCTCACTTTAGCCTCACTTTAATCTCACTTTAGTCTCACTTTAGTCTCACTTTAGTCTCACTTTAGCCACACTTTAGCCTCACTTTAGTCTCACTTTAGTCTCACTTTAGTCTCACTTTAGCCTCACTTTAGTCTCACTTTAGCCTCACTTTAGTCTCACTTTAGCCTCACTTTAGCCTCACTTTAATCTCACTTTAGTCTCACTTTAGTCTCACTTTAGCCACACTTTAGCCTCACTTTAGTCTCACTTTAGTCTCACTTTAGCCTCACTTTAGCCTCACTTTAGTCTCACTTTAGCCTCACTTTAGTCTCACTTTAGTCTCACTTTAGCCTCACTTTAGCCTCACTTTAGTCTCACTTTAGCCTCACTTTAGCCTCACTTTAGTCTCACTTTAGTCTCACTTTAGCCTCACTTTAGTCTCACTTTAGCCTCACTTTAGCCTCACTTTAGTCTCACTTTAGCCTCACTTTAGCCTCACTTTAGTCTCACTTTAGTCTCACTTTAGTCTCACTTTAGCCTCACTTTAGCCTCACTTTAGTCTCACTTTAGTCTCACTTTAGCCTCACTTTAGCCTCACTTTAGCCTCACTTTAGCCACACTTTAGTCTCACTTTAGTCTCACTTTAGCCTCACTTTAGCCTCACTTTAGCCTCACTTTAGCCTCTTTTTAGTCTCACTTTAGTCTCACTTTAGTCTCTTTTTAGCCTCACTTTAGCCACACTTTAGCCTCACTTTAGTCTCACTTTAGCCTCACTTTAGTCTCACTTTAGCCTCACTTTAGCCTCACTTTAGCCTCACTTTAGCCTCACTTTAGCCTCACTTTAGCCTCACTTTAGTCTCACTTTAGTCTCACTTTAGCCTCACTTTAGCCTCACTTTAGTCTCACTTTAGTCTCACTTTAGCCTCACTTTAGTCTCACTTTAGTCTCACTTTAGCCTCACTTTAGCCTCACTTTAGTCTCACTTTAGCCTCACTTTAGCCTCACTTTAGTCTCACTTTAGCCTCACTTTAGCCTCACTTTAGTCTCACTTTAGTCTCACTTTAGCCTCACTTTAGCCACACTTTAGCCTCACTTTAGTCTCACTTTAGTCTCACTTTAGCCTCACTTTAGTCTCACTTTAGCCTCACTTTAGCCTCACTTTAGCCACACTTTAGCCTCACTTTAGCCTCACTTTAGTCTCACTTTAGCCTCACTTTAGTCTCACTTTAGTCTCACTTTAGCCTCACTTTAGCCTCACTTTAGTCTCACTTTAGCCTCACTTTAGCCTCACTTTAGTCTCACTTTAGTCTCACTTTAGCCTCACTTTAGCCTCACTTTAGCCTCACTTTAGTCTCACTTTAGTCTCACTTTAGCCTCACTTTAGTCTCACTTTAGCCTCACTTTAGCCTCACTTTAGTCTCACTTTAGCCTCACTTTAGCCTCACTTTAGTCTCACTTTAGTCTCACTTTAGCGTGAATTAACGTGTGCAATAATTTATTGATTAATTCCTTTGAAAACGTCAAATACTGACAATTAAAAAGGAAACAAATGAAGAGCAAAAACAATCATCTCGTCGAATTCAACAAAATAATGAAAATGTATTAAAAGCTTTAAGCATCTATATCATAAAGGGATATTTTAACCTCAGACACGTGGCTTAAAAACTTAAATATATAATATTCTGCTTGCACATGAAACATTCACAAAATCTGCCATCATACAAAAAAAAAAAAAAAAAAAAAAATATGCATTCCGAGCCAAAACATTGCTTTGGCTGTTTCGGACTTTGGTCATTTAAGGCAACTTAAAAGCTCAATTTCAAAAAAAACAAAAACTTTTCAGTGCACGTCTAGATTACACCAGGAATCAACAACGAACACTTTAACTTCATTGTTCTTGTTGTTCGTGTTGTTCTTGTTGTTCTTGTTGTTCTTGGGTTCTCTTGATCATTCCTGGTGTGTTATTTGGCTTTTGTGAGACATATATTAGTAAGTATGGATTGCATACATTTCTTAAGTGGGATATTATTATTATTATTATTAGTGGTGGTTTTTAATAGCGCGGTACCCCCGACTAGGGCTGGGCTCACCACGCTGTACGTACAGTTTAATAAACCTATCTTGAACTTAAAAAAATTAACATACATTAATTAAATAAAACAAAAAAATGTATGAACTCCATATATTCCAGAACTATTTACATGTCAAGCCATGGACGGCAGCCAGCAGCATCGTTTATCGGTCAGAGGGAAGAATCAGCCAGGATAGTAATGTTTAAAGAGATGTGTCTTGAGTGCAAATTTCAAAGCTGTGATGGTTGGTATATTGCTAATGTGCAGTGGAAGAGAATTCCATTGTTCGAGGGTACAGAAAGAGAACGATTGTTCACCGTATGTTTTTTAAAATCATTTTTAGGCAAAGGTTCAGTTATAATCGAAACAGATTTAACTGAACCAGATATAACTGAACCAGATATAACTGAACGAGATATAACTGAACCCGATATAACTGAACCAGATATAACTGAACCAGATATAACTGAACCAGATTTAACTGAACCAGATATAACTGAACCAGATATAACTGAACCAGAGTTAACTGAACCAGATATAACTGAACCAGATATAACTGAACCAGATATAACTGAATCTGATTTAACTGAACCAGATATAACTGAACCAGATATAACTGAACCAGATATAACTGAACCAGATATAACTGAACCAGATATAACTGAACCAGATTTAACTGAACCATATATAACTGAACCAGATATAACTGAACCAGATATAACTGAACCAGATATAACTGAACCAGATATAACTGAACCAGATATAACTGAACCAGATATAACTGAACCAGATATAACTGAACCAGATATAACTGAACTAGATATAACTGAAACATCAGTGTAGTGATGTCACGGATTCATCTTTTAACAGGAAGGAAAGGGAAAAGAGAAAAGTGTGTGGTTAGGAGGGGTGTTAGGAGGGGTGGGAGGAGCGGTGGCGGGAGGGAAGGACGGGTGGAAGGAGGGGTGGAGGGAGATTCTTTTGTTGTTTATTTACATTTCAAACAGAAAAATTCATATACTTTTCTAATAGACAAACATTGGGGTATAATATACAGTGAAAATAAATAGTTTGAGCTGTACTTCATAGACGCTTGTCCCTCTCATTTCTTCTTCTTCTCTTTCTCTTTAAGTTACACTCTTTTTCTTTTCTTCTCTCTCTCTTTAAGTTACACTCTTTTTCTTTTCTTCTCTCTCTTTCCATTGTAAACTCTCTCTTTATCTCTTTTTATTTCTCCATCTCTTTTATTCTCTCTCTCTCTCTCTCTTTCTTTCTTTCTATCTATCTCTTTCTCTTTATATTGTACTAAAAGCCTGTAGCGTCTTGGTCTGAGTATGGCTGTTCTTAATGTCTCGAACTCACAGAGATGAACAAACATTTTAGAAGAAAACCTACAGCTTTAAAAATAAAAATAATAAAAATCATGAATCCTTTTCCACTCTAAAGGAAAGTATTTCGATAAACAATTGATGTGTTTGTTACGTTTGAGTCTAGATCTTGACTCTTATTGTTGTTTGAATTTAGACCCAATCCTGCTATTCCATTTGAGCTTGTTGTTGGCGAAACTTCAGTTAAGATGGTCTGTCCTGGTGATAAAATGGAACAGATAGAGTAGAGAATAACTGAGGAATGAATAGTACCAACTAGCATGCTGTATTGTAAAATATCTCCAGTCGTCCTTGGTTCTCAGGGAGAGTCACCGACTATCCGTACACATACACATCCATATATTTAGATGTCAATAGTCTTTAACGATGTATTGTATGTCATCGAACCTTCGTTTCATGTTTAAAAATATATTCCCCTAAATCAGCGGTTCTCAACCTGTGGGTCCGCGACCCCTTCGGAGGTCGAACGACCCTTTAACAGGGGTCGCCTAGGACCATAGGAAAACAGTTATACCTACATATACCCTACAGTTATGAAGTAGAAACGAAAATAATTTTGTGGTTGTGGGGTCGCCACAACATGAGGAAATATTTTAACGGGTCGCGGTATTAGAACGGTTGAGAACCACCCCCTAATTTCTGTTACCATTTGATCCTGGCCGTTATAGACACTCTTAGCTTTGACTGGGCGCATTTCCAAGATAGAAATTTGTGGACAAGAATTGTGTAGATATTGGTCCCCCCCCCCCCAAATGTTCTCTGCAATGCTAGATAAAGCCATGCTGACATTTTCTTTCCATAGGGCTCTGAGAACTCTCTAGGGTCTTGGTCGCCTCAAGGCCTTTTCTATCACTTGCTATTAGAACGGTTGAGAACCACCCCCTAATTTCTGTTACCATTTGATCCTGGCCGTTATAGACACTCTTAGATTTGACTGGGCGCATTTCCAAGATAGAAATTTGTGGACAAGAATTGTGTAGATATTGGTCCCCCCCCCCCAAATGTTCTCTGCAATGCTAGATAAAGCCATGCTGACATTTTCTTTCCATAGGGCTCTGAGAACTCTCTAGGGTCTTGGTCGCCTCAAGGCCTTTTCTATCACTTGCTAACTGTTTTAACTTCGTTACTTTTGTGAGTTGGTTATTTTGCCTGTCACTTTGCAACATACGTTTCACGAAGTAGATTTTCTTCCACACGTCTTAACATTTTCTAAATAATTCTAATCATAGTAAGCAGTTCTTGAAACTGCCTCAGTTCACGGGGTGCACCTCTAGACAAGTAGTGACTAGCAACTACTACCTTTTAACATACAAGATTCCTCTTGGGAGATTACTGTGCCACCGCAAGTGTCTTCAGGTGAGTAGTTTCCCTTTTTCTCTTTTAACCTCCTAATCCCGTAGATGAGCAGTACGTTAACAGCCAGCGAGCATGCCAACAGGCCAGCGATGGGGATGATCTCAGACAAGTCTTGTGTCATGTTGGCAACAATCATCGCAGACTTGGCTTCTGGAGATGGTAGAGGATCACATTGAAATATCTTGACACATTGTTTTATGGTGATATGGATGAAAGAAATGGATGGGTTTGGAACATTTCCCGCGACAAATGTCCTAAATAACATCACAAGAAAAACATGTATCAAAAACTGTCTCAAAACCTGTAATTTCAGCTTTTTCATATAACTTTTCTATACATCATAACAAGACAAACAAAATCTATCTGTACAAATACAATCAATTAATACAGCTTTCTATTTTAAAAAAAAATTAATCTATCTATTAATTCATTTTTCTTGATGTACCTCTTCACCCACACATTCATAATGATTTATTTCGTCTTTTATAGAAAGATTGTGTTGATAGTTAGTCAGGTTGTGTTGATATTTAGTCACTCTGTGTTGAAATTTAGTCACGATGTGTTGAAAGTTAGTCACGTTCTGTTGATAGTTTGGTTAACTTGATGGTTATTCAGTGTTGGGACCCGATGGCTCACACTCTCTCCATTGTACAATTGGAAGTCACCCTGGTAACGTTGACCGTGACCTAACTGAAACAAAGGGGCTCATCTGGACAAGCTTCCCTACGCTTCCCATATAATATTATATTAATGTAATATCATGTGTGTATTTAATTCTTTCATTTGCTATTCAATAATAATATTCGTCGGCTGAACTAACTGTGCTGATATAATCATTATACAAGGAATGTGTTCAACCAGGCAAACAAGACCCTGGGGTTCTTAAAGCGTCATCCAAAGATCAGCAACAGCAGTGAGAAAGAAAGAGCCTATAAAGCCTTTGTTCGGCCGATTTTAGATTATGTATCTCCAGTCTGGGACCCATTTACCCAGAAGAGCATTGACAGGTTGGTGGCGGTCCAGCGACGGGCAGCACGCTTTGTCCTGAACCGCTACAGGAATACCTCTAGTGTTGGCAGCATGCTAGAAACACTAGGCTGGTCACCATTGGAGGAACGACGACGACAATCCAGGCTTTCCATGATGTACAAGATAAATAATGGGCTGGTCCACTGTCCCAGTATTAAACAGAAACTCGTCCCTCTCCCCCATAGGCAGCGACGAGGCCATGACAGGCAATTCCGGCTCATACCAGCAAGAAGCCAGTATAGGAACTGCTCATTCCTGCCCAAGACAATCAGGGACTGGAACACGCTTTCAAAAGGAACAGTTGAGGTGACTACATTTGTGTCTATTGCTTCACGTCTTCCCACCCTCAGTGCATGATACCCTCACAAAATAGCACTTGTAATCATTGAAATATCCTCGTCTACACCAGGCACAGAACATTGCAAATACCCTCTACATGCATAGGAGCCAGAATGATCAATAAATTGATCGTGGGCCCTTAATATATATAGAAGAAGAAGGAGGAGGAAGAGAGTCATATAGTAAAAGTATCAACAAAAGTGTGCTACTGAGAGAGTGGCATTAAATGTAAATGTGAGACTAGTGATAAAAAGCTAATATAAATGCGTAAATCTAGTACGATTAGCGTAACAAACAGGTTGTGTTGATAGTTAGTCATGCTGTGTTGATAGTTAGTCATGCTGTGTTGATAGTTAGTCAGCTTGCGTTTTTAGTTAGTCGGGTTGTGTTGATAGTTAATAGTCAGGGTCTATTGATATTTAAGTTGTCTTGATATTAGTCAGGGTGTGTTGATATTTAGTCATTTTATGTTGATAGGTTAGTCAGGTTGTGATGATAGTCAGTTTTTGTTGATAGCTAGTGAAATTGTGTCGATAGTTAGGTTCTGTTGATAGTTAGTCAGGGTTTTATCTTTATTCAAGTTGTGTTGAGAGTTAGTCAGGTTGTGTTGATAGTCAGGTTGTGTTGATAGTCAGGTTGTGTTGATAATTATTCAGGGTGTGTTGATGGTTATTCAGGTTGTGTTGATAGTTAGTCAGGGTGTGTTGATAGTTAGTCAGGTTGTGTTGATAGTTAGTGAGGTTGTGTTGATAGTTAGTCAGGCTGTGTTGATAGTTAGGTTGTGTTGATAGTTAGTCAGGGTGTGTTGATAGTTAGTCAGTTTGTGTTGATAGTTAGTCAGGGTGTGTTGATAGTTAGTCAGGTTGTGTTGATAGTTAGTGAGGTTGTGTTGATAGTTAGTCAGGCTGTGTTGATAGTTAGTCAGGTTGTGTTGATAGTTAGTCAGGGTGTGTTGATAGTTATTCAGGGTGTGTTGATAGTTAGTCAGGGTGTGTTGATAGTTAGTCAGGTTGTGTTGATAGTTAGTCAGGTTGTGTTGATAGTTAGTGAGGTTGTGTTGCTTTAGTAAGGTTGTGTTGATAGTTAGTCAGGTTGTGGTGATAGTCAGGTTGTGTTGATTTCATCGATATAAATATTTTTAAAATCTGGTTATGAATGTGATACATGCTAATGAGGTCTCTAATAATTTTGAAGTGTGCGGTCACATGACACTGCTCTTGTGTAAAGTTTTGCTATCGCAACATGTATGTAAAGGGGCATAACTTTGAATAAAGACAGAAGCATTAAAAAAAAATGAAATTCTACGGGTTACCTCTGCATAGCTACTTGAAACAAGTCTCAGAGTCACATTTGTTTGATGCGGAGAGTTGGAACAGTTTAGACATCATTCAAGTGCACAAGATGCGCCATTGAAATGCTACATGCTGAGTGCAGTAGTGATATATAAAAACCTTCCTGTACAAATTTAGTGAATGATTGAGTGAAAAAAGGCGTGCCAA